GATGGGCATCTATGTTGATTCCATGTCTTTGCTATTGTGATTAGTGCTCTGATGAACATAAGGGTGGGCACATGTGTCCTTTTAATAGAACAATTTATATTCCTTTGGGTATATACCTAGTAATGGGAGTGCTGGGTTGAATGGTAGTTCTGTTTTAAGTTCTTTGAGAAACTTCCAAACTGCTTTCCACAGGGACTGACCTGATTTACATTCCTATCAGCTCCACATAAGCATTCTGTTTACTCCACAATCTTGCCAACATCTGTTACTTTTTGACTTTTTAAACATAGCCACTCTGACTAGTATGAGATTGTATCTCATTGTGATTTTAATTTATATTTCTCTAATGATTAGTGATATTGAACTTTTTTATATGCTTGTTGGCTACATGTATGTCTTTTTTTGAGAAGTATCTGTTGTCTTTTGTCCACTTTAAAATGAGGTTACTTCTTTATTGCCTGTTGAGTTGTTTAAATTCGTTATAGATACTGTGTATTAGACCTTTGCCAGATGCATAGTTTGTTAATATTTTTTTCCCATCCTGTAGGTTGTCTGCTTACTCTATTGATAGTTTCTTTTGCCATGTATAAATTCTTTAATGAGATCCCACTTATCTGTTTTGTTTTTGTTACAATTGCTTTTGGAGACTTTATAATGAAATCTTTGCCGAGGCATATGTCCAGAATGGTATTTTCTAGGTTTTCTTCTTGGGTTTTTATAGTTTTAGATCTTACATTTAACTCTTTAATCCAGTTTGAGTTGCTATTTGTACATGATAACAGGAAGGGGTCTAGTTTCCATCTTCCAAAAATGGGTAGCCAGTTATCACAGCACCGTTTATTGATTATGAAGTTCTCTTCCCATTACTTGTTATTGTTAGTTTTGTTAAAGATCAAATGGTTGTAGGTATGTAGTTTTATTTCTAGGTTCTCTATTCTGTTCCATTGGTCTATATGTCTGTTTCTTTGCCAGTACCATGCTGTTTGGGTTACTATAGCCTTGTAATATTGTGTAAAGTCAGGTAGTGTGGTACCTTTAACTTTGTTCTTTTTACTAAGCATTGCTTTGGCTATCTGAACTCATTTTTTGGTTCCCTATGAATTTTAGTATACATTTTTTTCCAGTTTTATGAAAAATGATGTTGGTAGTTTAATAGGAATAGTATTGAATCTGTATATTGTTTGGGGCAGTATGACCATTTTAACAATATTGATTCTTCCCATCCATGAGCATGGAATTTTTTCCATTTGCTTGTAGCATCTCTGATTTATTTCAGGAGTGTTTTGTAATTCTATGATACAATTTGGCTGTGTCCCTATCCAAATCTCATCTTGAATTGTAGTTCTCATAATCTCAATGTGTCATGGGAGGGACCAAATTGAGATAATAGAATCATGGTGGTGGTTTCCCCCATCTTATCTCAATAGCAAGTTAGTTCTCACAAGATCTGATGGTTTTATAAGGGGCTTCACTCTTTGCTGGGCTCTCATTCTTCTCCTTCCCGCTGCCATATGAAGAAGGATATGTTTGCTTCCCCTTCCACCATGATTATAGGTTTCCTGAGGCCTCCCATGCCCTGAGGAACTAGTCCATTAAACCTCTTTCCTTTATAAGTTACCTAGTCTTGGACATGTCCTTATAGTAGCGGAAGAACAGATTATTACAGCAAGTTGATACCTCAGAGAGTAGAGTGCTGTTCTAAAGATACCTGAAAATGTGGAAGTGACTTTGGAAATGGATAACAGGGAGAAGTTGGAACAGTTTGGAGGGCTCAGAAGAAGACAGGAAAATGTGGGAAAGTTTGAAACTTCCTAGAGACTTGTAGAATGGCTTTGACGAAAATGCTGACAGTTATATGGACAATGAAGTCCAGGCTGAGGTGGTCTCAGATGGAGATGAGGAACTTGTTGGAAATTGGAGTAAAGGTCACTATTGCTATGCAAAGAGACTGGGAGCATTTTGCCCTGCCCTAGAGATGTGTGGAATTTTAGACTTGAGAGAGATGATTTAGAGTACCTGGTGGAGGAAATTTCTAAGTGGCAAAGTATTCAAGAGGAAGCAGAGCATAAAAGTTTGGAAAATTTGCAGCCTGATGATGCATTAGAAAAGAAAACCACATTTTCTGGGGAGAAATTCAAGCTTGCTGCAGAGACTTATATTAGTAAGGAGGAGTCCAGTGCTAATCACCAAGACAATGGCAAAAATGTCTCCAGGGCATGTCAGACACCATTGTGGCAGCTCCTCCCATCACAGGCCTGGAGGCCTAGGAGGAAAAAATAGTTTCCTGGGCCTGACCCAGGGCACCCTGCTGTGTATAGCCTAGGGACTTAGTACCCTGCAACCCAGCTGCTCCAGCTAAAAGGGGCCAATGTGACTAAAAGGGGATAAAAGGGTCCAAGGTACAGCTTGGACCATGGCTTCAGAGGGTCCAAGCCCCAAGCCTTGGCAGCTTCCACATGGTGTTGAGCCTGTAGGTATACAGAAGTAAAGAGAACAGGACCACCATTCTCCAGACCCCAGAATGGTAGGTCTATCAACAGCTTGCACTGTATTCCTGGAAGAGCCACAGGCACTCAATGCCAGCCATGAAGGCAGCTGGGAATGGGGCTTTACTCTGTAAAGCTCCAGGTGTGGAGCTTCCCAAGGCTGTGGGAGACCACTTCTTGTATCAGCATGACTTGGATATGAGATATGGAGTCAAAGAAGGTCATTTTGGAACTTTAAGGTTTAATGACTGCCCTATTGTATTTTGGACTTGCATGGGGCTCGTAGCCCCTTTGTTTTGGCTAATTTCTCCCATTTGGAACAGGTGTATTTACTCAATGCCTGTATTTCCATTGTATCTTGGAAATAACTAACTTGCTTTTGATTTTGCAGGCTCATAGGCAGAAGGGACCTGCCTTATCCCAGATGAGATTTTGGACTTGGACTTTTAAGTTAATGCTGGAATGATTTAAGACTTTGGTGTCTGTCAGAATGGCATGATTGTGTTTTGAAATGTGAGGACATGAGATTTGAGAGAGGCCAAGGGTGAAATAATATAGTGTGGCTGTGTCCCCACCCAAATCTCATCTTGAATTCTAGTCCCTATGATTCACATGTGTCATGGGAAGGACCAGGTTGATATGATTGAATCATGGGGATGGTTTCTCCTATCCTGTTCTCATGACAGTGAGTTAGTTGATGCAGAATCTGGTGGTTTTATAAGGGGCTTCTCCCTTTGCTAGGCTCTCATTCTTTTCCTTTCTGCTGCCATGTTAAGAAGGACATGTTTGTTTCCCCTTCCACCATGATTGTAAGTTTCCTGAGGCCTCCCCAGCCCTGCAGCACTGTGAGTCAATTAAACCATTTTTCTTTACAAATTCCCCAATCTCAGGTATGTCCTTATGGCAGCAGGAGAATGGACTAATACATTCTTCTTTTAGAGATCTTTCACCTCCTTGTTTAGCTGTATTCCTAAGCATTTCATTCTTTTTGTTGGTAAGTGTCTGTTGAGTGTGATGGTGTGAAAAGGACTTTAAGCCATTTGACTTACAAAATTATATTAGTTCTTCCCTAAAAGACAGATTAAACAAATTTTGTTCTATAAAAAAGTTCGCATATAACAAGGAAGACATGAAAAAGAAAAGATGTAAGTGCTGTTCATCAAGAGCTTAAATTGTGCTGTTGTACCTGGAGAGGGAGTTGGAGCAGAGCTTGAGGATCCCCAAACCTCCATAGTGGGCAGGGAGGGGTGAGGAAGGACAGACACCACTTGTGAGAAGAAATAAAATGTCGCACACCCAGGGGCAAGCCTTTCTTTGGTAACTATAGTAGTCCCCTGCTTGTGTACCTACTCCCTGCCCCACCTTTTTCTTACACAGAGCTATTGGCAACTTTCCCTTTAGGAGGGAGGCCTTGTGGGGAAACTCACATAATGACAAGATGTACAGCCACTTATATGAACTATTCCAGTCTTTTATAATATTTATAAATATGAACCTATAATAGAAGATCAGAAGGATGATGAGGAAAGGTAATTGCATGAAAGAGAAGAATCAAGATAAGCAGCACAAACAATGGAACCCAAAAGAACAGAGATAATGTCAGAAATAAAGTATGTTACAAATAAAACTAGTGTTAGTATCCTGAGGGAGATTAAGGAGGCAATTATATCTATAAAACAAGAATAGACTGCCAAAAAAAATGAGCAAGTAAAGAACAAGTTCTTAGAAGTTAAAGGCATAATTAAGAAAATAAAGGATAAAAAATAGAATGAATATAGCTGGAGACTAAACTAGTGATATGAAAATAAAATCAAGGAATTCTTCCAGAACATAGATAAAAAAGACAAGGAGGGCCAGGTGTGGTGACTCACACCTGCAATTTCAGCATTTTGGGAGGCCAAGAGGGTAGAATTGCTTGAGGCCAGAAATTTGAGACTAGCTTGGGCAGTAGAGCAAGACCCTTTCTCTACAAAAAAAATTAAAAAAAATAGCTAAGTACAGTGACGTGTGTCTGTAGTTGCAGTTACTCTGGAGGCTAAGGCAGAAGGATTGCTTGAGCCAGGAGTTCAAAGCTGCAGTGAGCTATGATTGTACCATTTCATCTGGTCTGGGTGACAGAGTGACACCCTGTGTCAAAAGGTCTTTACTTTCTCTAAAAGTTTACTTTTCTATTGCATGATCTGTACCCATATTTTTATCTATCCTTTTTCTAAAATCTGATATTTGCAAAACCATTTCTGTGGCATATGTTATGGAATAGGAAAGCTGACTTTCCATTCTCTTACACTTACCAGATATTTGGAAGAAAAAAATATCATAAAATGTTGGAGACAGTGCTAACTGGTGCTGGTAATTGAGAGGACAATGTGACTTGTTTATTTCTCAGTTTTATTTTGGTATACTCATTGTCCTTAGTTATCAGCAAGTCTAAGTCCATAGCTGGTGCTGAGTAAACATCTCTTGAGTAGGTGTCTCTTTCTCTTTCCTAATAAATGTGGCTTCTTTTTTATTTAGCTGCATTACAGGCACTAAAGAGAAAGAAGAGGTTCGAAAAGCAGCTCACTCAGATTGATGGAACACTTTCAACCATTGAGTTCCAGAGAGAAGCCCTGGAGAACTCACACACCAACACTGAGGTGTTGAGGAACATGGGCTTTGCAGCAAAAGCAATGAAATCAGTTCACGAAAACATGTAAGTGACTCTGGTCTCCCCCTGAATCATAAATTCTCTCAGTGTTGGGAAGAACCTTTGGAACCATATTATGATTTTGGCAGGAATGGATTTACTCATTTGAGGCTCTTTGACTTGTTGAGTGAAATAGTGTCTCAGAGAAAGATTAAAGGTTATAACAACAACAACAAAAAAGACCGTGAAAAAAGGAAGGGCATTCATTTTTGCCTGTAATGTTTCCTGGTTACTTTATGATTGCTGGAAACTGTACCTGTAAATATTTTAATTCTATGATTTAAAAAAGGCATGGCACGGTAGCTCATGCCTGTAATCCCTGCACTTTGGGAGGCTGATGCAGGCAGATCACCTGTGGTCAGGAATTCAAGAGCAGCCTGGCTAACTTGGTGAAACCCTGTCTCTACTAAAGATATTTTTAAAAAATGAGCCAGGAATGGTGGTGGGCACCTGTAATCCTGGCTACTCAGGAGGCTGAGGCAAGAGAATCACATGAACCCGGGAGGCAGAGGTTGCGATGAGTGAGATCGCACCACTTGCACTCCAGCCTGGGCGACACTGCAAGACTCTGTTTCGGAAAAACAACAGCAACAACAACAACCACCACAAATTTTAAAAAGACTTCAATTTCATCCTCTGCGAGGGTGTTGGAACTGTGGGAAAGTGACTGTCAAATGTTGGAGGGAATCAGAATCACCTGGAAAATATGTGAAGAGAACACAGATGCCCAGGCTCCTTGAACTAGGAAAGGATTTGGGTCCATGTGATTCTGATGCTACCCAATGTTTGAGAACCACTGACATAGAAGAATAGTTATGAGCATGGATTTGGGTGTTAAATTTTCTGGGCTATAATCAGAGGCCAACAACTGACTATCCCTTGGGAAAATTATTTTGTCCTTTATTCAGTTTCCATATATGCAAATTAGATATGATAATAGTACTTATCTTGTGGTTATTGTGAGAGTCAATGAGATATTATATATAATGCACTTAGCATAGTTCCTGGCACAAAGGGAGCACTCAGTAATATTCACAATTTGCTTAACATTCACACTGGGAAATATGTCTTGACCTGATCCTTTTCTGATATTGCATATGAAAGTGGAACCTGGGCCAAAGATGCACAAGAGCAATGAGTACCTACAATATGTAGACAAACTTCCGTAGAATGGGAAAAGGTGAAAAAGGTGGAGGCTGGGGGGAGTGAAGACAACCTTGCTAACCAACACTTTCTTTTCTGAATAATTCATTAACAATCAGCCTCCATTTTTACAGTTTCAGGGAGATCATTAGATTCATTATCAGAGTCAAAATTCTCTATTGCTTTTGGGTACTAAAATGTATTAGAAAATCAGCCTTTCTTTCCAGGCAGCTTGGCAAAATCATACCATTGTATTACATTTGAAAAAAATTCGTTCCCAGGCCCAAAGTTTAGCCATACATTTTTTTCATGTTCCTTTTAAAAACATATTTGTTGAATATTCATTATAAATAGAATAATAAGGTTTAGAGATAAGGGATGGTCAAAGGGAAGTAAAAGTATTCTTTTTTGATTATTGCATTAAAATATGTCAAAATAGCTCTTATAGAGTCAGAGAAACTCACAAAAAATTAATCCCACTGTAACTCAAACTCTTGGTATTTAGGCTACTTAATAATAAGGGCATTATCACTTCTCTTATATCCGATCAGTTTGGCCTAGTTTCAGAGTTGTAGGAGTTATTCAGAGACCAACTACTATAGAAACATTCCAGAACCTGGCATGTAGACACCAACATGCTTAGGTGGTGTTTAGAAGCCAGTGACGCTCAGGTGTTGGAAAATGTCTTCAAAGCTGCTGTTCATCCTGAGCCAGTGGCTACCTAGATTTCTTTGCTGCAGTTGCTAATTCTTCTGAGGGCTTTATAGGTTTAATCCTGCTCTTTTTAGTAACCTCTCAGGGCAACACCACTATGGGAAAACCCTCAGGGAGCCAGGATCTCAGAGCCGCTAAGTGTTACAAAAAATTGCTCACTAGCCCTTCAACAAACGGCTGCTGTCAGTTAGGGGCTCCTGAGAGCCGCCGAAGCTCATCTAGTCTTGGTGGTCCTAGTGGTCTGTGGCAGTGTTTCCTGCAGAGTTGATACACAGCAGCATATATTTAAATTTGACATATGCTCTACCAGAAAAAATTCAAAATGGGTCTATAAATATTAATAGTTATAAATATTTTTATTTTTAGTGAGTTTAAAATGTAATAGGTATTTGCTTAATGCTTTTAATATATGTACATATACAGGATTATTAACTTTTTAAAAAATATATACATTATCTTTAAAGTTGGTAAATATCAGGAATATTTATCCTACTGAAATAACTAAGAGTTTGTATTAAAGGAACTGACTCTTTCTTATAGGATTATATCTAAATTATAAGTTAACATTCTAAAATGTTCAACAAAATATGATTTCCCAGGGACCTGAACAAAATAGATGATCTGATGCAAGAGATCACAGAGCAACAGGACATCGCCCAAGAAATCTCAGAAGCATTTTCTCAACGGGTTGGATTTGGTGATGACTTTGATGAGGTACGTAACCCAATATGGAGAATGCAGGATTGTGGCTGCTGTAAAGAGTAGCTTCCTGTCACATACGGTAGGCAGGTTCCCTTACTACCGAAAGAACAAGTGATATTTGTCAGAAAGGTACTTCTCTTAAGAGAAAAATAAAGTGTTAGTAGCTCTGATTTAAAGAGAAGATTAATATAGTTTGGCAAACAGCTACCTAATTAAGTCTTCAGCTATTAAGGAAAAAACAGCATGTGATTATGTAAAGTTAGTGACTTTTAATGGTTGAAGTCTAAACAGCCCCATTAGGAGGAACTGAATGCTTACACATCTGGGCAAAACAAAGTAGACTTTGTCATTCTGCATGAAACAGACGTGTCATGCTCTATGGCTATTAAATTAGAGGTTAGGCTGCCTCTGTTTATTACTCAGGCTATGAAACCAAATAAATGTGGAGTGGCATTATTAACACACACATTCCATTTAGATTAATCCGTCCAATAATACAAACAGACTATAATTATAATGGTGATGTCTGCACTGTGAATTTCCATCGTTCTGCTCAAAGCACACACAAGTAGGACTAGTACGCATATAGACATTTCCAAAGCTTGGATTAGCATGGCAAATAATGCAACTTCCTTCATCTCTGTGATATTAAAAATAATACATTTAGCAAGTAAGATGTGGTTCCATGGAATCCCCCTAAATGAGGATAGGTATCAACACCTTTTAAAAATGGTGTTGACAAAGGGTCGGAAAAAATATGGCTTGCAGGTCAAATTCTTCCCATGACCTGTTTTTGTGTATCCTTTAAGGTCAGGATGGGTTTCACAATTTTAAACTGTTGTTGAAAACTGACAACAAAGGAGACTATGGAGCAGAAGAAAACATGCAGCCTGCAAAGCCTGAAATATTATTATTTGGTCCTTTACAGAAAAAGTTTGCCAACCCCTGGGGTGGACTAATAAGCTTGTAATGAGTAAATTATGATGTGGTGGAAAGGACTCTAGGCTAATGTGGATATTTGGACTCTATCATTTATTAAAATGTTGTGGCCAGGTGCAGTGGCTCATGCCTATAATCCCAGCACTTTGGGAGGCCGAGGTGGGTGGATCACAAGGTCAAGAGATCAAGACCATTCTGGTCAACATGGTGAAACCCCGTCTCTACTAAAAATACAAAAATTAGCTTGGCATGGTGGTGCATGCCTGTAGTCCCAGCTACTCAGGAGCCTGAGGCAGGAGAATTGCTTGAACCCAGGAGGCGGAGGTTGCGGTGAGCAGAGATCGCGCCATTGCACTCCAGCCTGGGTAACAAGAGTGAAACTCCGTCTAAAAAAAGAAAAACTTTGTGTAAGTCCCTTTTACTTTTCTGACTCTTAGCTTTCTTATCTATGATAATGAAGATTATTAGATCACTGGATTATCTCTAAAATATCTTAAATTAGCGTTTGATACCTAAAGAATGAAAATGACGGAGGAGATGATTACTCTGTTACCATATTGCTAAAGAAAACATCAATATGTTTCTGCTGCTGTTGAAAATGGTGAAGCACTATTGGCAATTCTGGGCATACATTTGGCATAGGATAGCTTTTTCTGCTGTTACCATATTTATGGTATTTGTCCCTAATTGTTTTCTGAGCAGAAATAGGACATCAGGGTATTCACTTTGATGCCATTTTATTCATATGGCCTGTGGAAGTCCATCAAGTGCACAGCTATATTGACTGTGCTATTTCATATGGCCCAGTGCTATACACCTTCATATTTTCTTTTCTTTTTATGAGGCAGATTTAATAGGGGTCAGACAATCTTTCAGCTTGCTGCAATTCTGAAACCTATTGACTCAATCAAATGTTGTCATTGGCATAAATATCTTCTTTCTCCCCACAGTGTTATTACTCTCACTTTAATATTGGATTATTATTTGTTTATGTGCCTTTCTCCTGCATTTGAGCATAAGCTCCTTGAATATAGGGAGTGCTGATTCAACTTTACGTCCCAGCACTGAGTTCAAAATCTGTCCAGGAGTGAGTGCTCAATAAATTTGTTGAATAATGAATGAATGAATTCTCTCATTCATTATTCATTCATAAAAGAAAAATCTACTTGGATGAATATAAAGTGTTCCAGGTAATTTCTAATAGTGACAGCCACATAATTCCATCAATGGCAAGTTTAGTTGTGACTATCAAACTCTCTCTGAGAGGGCTGGACTCCACTTGAGGACTTATGGAGCCAGTGAGATCTGAACTATCTGAGTCATCTCAGAACTGGCATAAGGTGACTTACATCTTTAAGGTCTCAAACTAGCCTTGTCTCTCAAAAGTTTTTGGGACAGGGAGTAGTTTAAGATTAAACCAGACTCTTTGGTACTATTGCTAAAAGAAAGAAATATGGTATACTTATCTTAAAATGAACTTTTCTTAACCCAAATGTGCAGCCTAATTTATATTGGCTTTGGTGATTTGATAAAATAATCATATCTCTATCTTTGATTCTTTTTACTTTCTGTGCATTATGGTTTTGCTATACATGTTGTTTTATTTGCAATAGCATTAGCCCAAAGAAAAACATTCATTTCTACCAATTAAAGTTTTGTAGATTCTAAACAGTAGAAAAGAACACATTGGAAAAATGACAGGCAAGGTGTAAATTTCCCAGAAATGTGGGGAAGTTATATATTCAGCTAGCACAAATTACATGAATGGCTGTTTACTGAAGTATTAGAAGATTAACTACAGCAAATTTGCACAACCCAGAATATTCATTTTTTAATCACTGCTCAGTGTTGCAAAAAAGACTTAGTTTTAAAATAAATATTCCATTTCACTGGATTCTCACATATCAATTGGGTAGCAGATGTTCTTGTTATTGTGTTTGAGGAAACCCACGTCTTGAAACGTTAACTCCATAATTCTTCCTTTCTCCTGTGTTCAGGATGAGTTGATGGCAGAACTTGAAGAATTGGAACAGGAGGAATTAAATAAGAAGATGACAAATATCCGCCTTCCAAATGTGCCTTCCTCTTCTCTCCCAGCACAGCCAGAGAGAAAACCAGGCATGTCTTTCACTGCACGTCGAACCCGAGCAGGTCTGCTACCCAGCTCAACCACCTGTGGTCAGATAGTTGCCTAAAATGGTAGCCAGGCCCATTCTTTTTAGGACATGTTTTTGATTTCATATTTAATTCATTTTTATATGTAATTCATACCTGTTTTCAATGCTGAAAGTGTGAATGTCACCAATTAGTAATTTTTATCTATTTTATGTTCCAGCATCTTCCCGGAGGGCAGAAGAAGATGATGATGATATCAAACAGTTGGCAGCTTGGGCTACCTAAACTAAAATGCATTTTTGATACCTAAATTAATAAGCTGTAGATAAAATATAATTTTTTTTTGGCCTAGTTCAGAAGTTAACAAAGGCTGTTTTTTTGTTTGTTTTTGTTGTTGTTTTTGAGATGGAGTCTCGCTCTGTCCCCAGGTGGAGTGCAGTGGCACGATCTTGGCTCACTGCAACCTCTACCTCCTGGGTTCAGGCAATTGTCCTTCCTTAGCCTCCTCAGTAGCTGGAATTCCAAGCACCTGCCACCAACCCCAGCTAATTTTTGTATCTTTTAGTAGAGACAGCATTTCACCATGTCGGCCAGGATGTTCTCTATCTCTTGACCTCATGAACTGTCTACCTCAACCTCCCAAGTGTGGGGATTACATGTGTGAGCCACTGCGCTCGGCCGACTCTGTTTTATAATTATACTGAATGAATAATTGTGTTTTAAGCCTTCTAAGTAAAAGTAAAAAAGGAGTCATGTGTACATATAGAATCAATGATGGAGGCTAAGTGTGGTGGCTTGCACCTGTAATACCAGCACATTGGGAGGCTGAGGCAGGTGGACCACTTGAGGCCAGGAGAGTGAGTCCAGCCTGACCAACATGAAGAAACCCCATCTCCACTAAAAATACAAAATTAGCCAGATATGATGGCATGTGCCTGTAATCTCAGCTACTTGGGAGGCTGAGACAGGAGAATTGCTTGAGCCTGGGAGATGGAGGTTGCAGTGAGCCAAGACTGTGCCACCTGTACTCCAGACTATGTGACAGAGGGAGACTTTATCTCAAAAAACAAAAAGTAATACATTTAGTATAGCTGGGAAAAGTAACGTTATTTCCTATGTGAATGAAAAGTTGCTGTGTGTATCCATGTAGGTATGGTAAATGTAAATATACAGTGTCTCTTTTGGGAGCAACTTCTAGTAGAGGAGTCTTATATGAGTCTATTCATAAATAGTTTCACTTGAGTTTTGCAGTTTGAAATCTTAAAGGAGCTTTAATTGACGTTTATTATACCAATTAAGCTTGGAATGGGGCAATGGATGCATTTCGCAAAATGTCTAAAAGCACTAACAGCTTACACTGCTGAGTGAGAATCTCCTGGGTGTAATTTACCCACTTAGGGAACTGTGTTAACACTCCCAGGCCATTATGATGCTGTTATGGCTTCAGTGTATAAATGCATGAGTGTTCTTCCTGTTCTGTTTGGTGCTCTCTTGTACATTTATTTACTCTTTACAGAATATTCCTTGTAAATACATAAAATGGCAATTAAAAGTATATCTTGAATAAAATTTTGGCCATAATTATTTTTAAATAAAAATAAATTACAAAATTATGTATTACCCATAATAGATTGTGGACCATCAAATGACAAATATCATTAAATAAGATATTTTAATATTCTCTACATTTGCTTACCAATATGGTGGAATGGAAAGAGCACTAGACCCAAAGGTAGGAGGCCTGGGTTTCAGTCCCTGCTGTGACACTAACATGAACCAATAGACTCTCTGAGCCTTTGTTTCTTCACTGGCAAACCTAAGGATCAGACTTGATGATTTTCTAATGATTCCATCCTGCCAGAGGCCATTTGCACATTCTGTTCTCCTTGGCAGTCTTCCTACCCTGCACAATGCAGGTACAATCTTACTTACTCTTTAAATCTTAGTTAAAATATCCCTTGTTTGGGGAAACTTTGCTGGATTGCCCAGACTAACTCAGGTTTCCCCATTATATGCTGTTGCAGTGCTCTTCCTTCTGTCATTTCTTATCATGATTTATATTACATATTTACTTGAATGATTCCTTAATTATTGTTGCTCTTCCATGCTGAGCACTGCTAATCACAAGGACAGGGATTGCTTTTCTTTTAGTTAAATAGTTGATCCCCAGCATTTTGCAGTTTCTCATCAGCAGGATATCAATTAATATTTATTAAATGAATGACAATTAAGAGTTTACATTTTTCAGGCCATGATAGTATAACAGGACCTATATTTACCTTATACTCTTAAACACTGGAAAACTGGATAAAATACAGGAAACAACATTTTTCAAACATTGGACAACAGGCAGCACTGGACAATGTTTCCTGAGAAGGGACACTAGTAATATGAGCACTTCCATGGCCCCAGCCTCTGCCTACACAGGGAAGGGGAACCCAAGCAGAGCTTGGTGGTCTTGCTGAGTTGAGAAAATTTGTGGAGAAGAGTGCTAGAAAGGATGTTTCTGCAGAGGAGAGAGAGAGAGAGAGAGAGAGAGAGAGAGAGAGAGAGAGATGCAAGTAGGAGGGCATGAGCTATCTATGGTCTGAATGTTTGTGCCCCCATCCCCTAAATTCATTCATTGAAATCATCACCCCTAAAGTGATGGTATTAGGTGTGAGGCTGTTTGGGAGTTGATTTCATGAATGAAGAATGAAATTAGAGCTTTTATAAAATGGGCCCAAGGGAGCTCATTCATAACCTTCCTCCATGTGAGGACACAATAAAGATGTCATCTATGAACCAAAGAGCGAGCTCTCACAAGACACCAAATTTGCTGACATCTTGATCTGGGAATTCCCAGACTTCAGAACCATGAGAAATAAATATCAGTTATTTATAAGTTACCCAGTTGATGGTGTTTTGTTATGGCAGTTCCAGCAGACTGAGGGAGAGACAGAGAGACAAAGAGAGAAAGAAACAAAGAGAGCGAAGTGGTGGTGGGAAGATGGGGAAAGAGAGAGAGGGAGAGGAGAGAACTCTGGAATTCAGCAGAAGAGACCCTCAAATTTGCCTCTGAGGACCGATCTGCCTACATGTGTGAGGAAACTGCTGACACCAAGAAGAACTGTTGGAAAGATAGATGGATCAATCTCCAGAGCACACACAGGTCCAGGAATAGTTTATATACCTGCTAGCCAGAGTGGAAAGGCCTCCTAATACAGAGAGCATTTGGTTAAGTCCTCAGAAGGGTATTGCTTCAGTAGTGGGGCCATATTACACCTAGAGTAAAGGGCACACTTCACAAAACCTAAAAGCAAACCTCAAAAGGATCAAATGATTCCAATTGACTAAATTGCATCCCAGAACAAAGCCCTCAAATACTTAAAGGAATATAAAAACTGTCAATTAGCAATAACAAAATGAATAAAACCTTAGCACCCAATAGCATAAAATTCACAAAGTCCACCACTGAGTCAAAAATGTTCAAGCATGCCAAAAAGCAAAGAAATACAATCCATAACCAGGAGACAAACAGTAGGAACAAATTGTGAAATGACAAAAGGCAAGATTTTAAAACAGCTGTTATAAATATACTCCATATGTTCATTAAGACAGCTGTAATGAATATACTCCATATGTTCAAGAAAGGAGAGGAAAGCATGATCATGTAAAGAGAAAAGTGGAAAATATTTTAAAAGACGAAAATTGAAGTTCTGGAGATGAGGAGTACATGATCTGAAGAGAAAAATGCAGAACATCATTGTTGGCATTAATGGCAGATTGGACACTGCAGAAAAAAAGACGAGTGAACTTGAAGACATAGCAACAGAAACAATTCTAAATAAAACACAGAAAGAAAAACACTAAAAAAAAAAACAAAGAAGAAAAGAACAGAGAAAGAGTGAGCTGTGGGACCATATCAATCAGCTTAATGTGCAGGTAATGGGAGTTCTGAAATGGTGATGATGAGCTGGGTGGATGAGGGATGATTTGGCTGAGGAAACAGAATAGAAAAAACCTTTGAAGAAACAGTGGCCCCCAAATTTCCAAAGTATTAAAAATTATAAACCTTCAGTCCAATAAAATGCAACATCTCATGCAGAAATTCCTGTATCCTTCAATAACAAAAGTTATTGTGGAATGCTAGATTGTCAAAACCTCATGAGTGATGTCTGAATGTCTCTCCTCACTCTAGTTAACTACACATGCCTAAGCAGTTTAGCTGGATCTGTGAGATCCAAAGAGTATCCATTAACCACATGAAATGAACACTCAATAAATGCTGGTACAATTGAGAAACTGAATTTTTAGTTCTATTTAATTTTTGTTAGTTTAAATTTAAAAACGGACACAATTCATTTATTAAAAAAAACTTTATGTTCAGAATACCTTGGGTATGTGAACTGTTTATTTTTTTATTTTCTTTCTTTCTTTTCTTCTTCTTCTACTTTGCTTTTTAGACACGAGTTCTCACTCTATTGCGCAGGCTGGACTCAAACTGCTGGGCTTAAGCAGTCTTCCAGCCTCAGCCTCCCAAGTAAGTGAGACTATAGGCATGTGTCATTGAATCTACTTTTTTGACTGTAAAATTTATGTAGTCTTTATACAAACCAAGTACTTCAAATGGAAATATGCATCTCATTTAAAATGTACTCTAAGTGTGAAATATGCATTGGATTTCAAATACTTAGTAAATTAAAAAGAACATAAAATACCTCATTAATAATTTTATATTGATTTCTCATTAAAATATTATTTTGGATGTGTTGGGTTAAATAAAATATATTGTTAAAATTTATTTCACCTGGTTTTTAAAACTTTAAAATAATATGGCTCCTGGGAAATTTAAAATTACATAAGTGGCTTGCATTATTTTTCTATTGAGTATTCCTGGGCAAGACCAAATCCTGGCTACCAGCAAATTTACAGATAATGTATGACTTGAAATACTAAAATCCTAAAGTATTAAAAAGAAATGTTTACAAAACATGATATTTTACCTTGAAAAGGAATAAAAAATACTTTGAAATAAATTATAATGCTGCTCTTCTGTTGACAATAAGAAAGCAGTGAAACACAAGAGAAGAGTTGTAAAAGTAAATCATCTTTGGATTGAAAGATATGAAAAAGAATAAAGACATTAATCAGGTGTCTAACAGTATTTTTGGTAAAGCTTCCTTAGAATTGGAAGACTTGTTTGGAAGTTATAAATTCTAGTATGTTTGCTAACAACTGGTCCTACTTCTTATAGGGCGCCTCAGTGGTAGACTCAGTTTGGGCAGTGCTGGATGGCTAGTCTGTTTGTATTCTGTCTTTTTTTAATAAAAAGTTTTGTAATAAATAAAGTTTGTTTTTTTGTTTTTCCTTTTTGGTTGTAGAAGTGCATTCAAGACAACTTAAGAGAAAAAGTTGTATTTATTGGAAGGGATTTGGATATTCCAGAAATGAAAGCAATGTTTAAAATGCAAATGTGAGGAGGGTCACAAACCTGGGAGGCTCTGGAGGTCAGGGTAGCTCTGAGTCACTCCTTCTGAGTATTCAACTGTAGAAGAAAGTAATCTATCACCATTGTGAGCAAACTGCTCTACTCAAAAGTCAAATTCCAGATGTGGAACATTTGATTGGCCAAGTTTGGTTTATGTAACTGACTCTGAAGTTAGCCATCTGAATCCTTATAAACTGAGAAGCAGTAAGGAGGGTTGGTAAAGTATAGTGAAGATAATCCCACCTGAAGAAAGGAGAATGCATGTTGGCCATCTAAAACCTAAAAACACCACCTACAGCAATAAATGTCCATGCAATAACTGAGAATAATTAAATCTGAATTGCAGTGTTTCTTCGTCCTTGGCAAACATAAACTCTGAGCACAGACTTCTTTAGCAGAAACTGGAGGAGCAAATAGTTTATACACTGCATTTGTATGTACCTTACTAAAACAAAATGGACAATGTATTAAAGGTTGCAAGCCTAGCAAAAAGAAAGAAGAAAAAAAGGAAAAATCCAAAGAAGCCAGGACTAATAAAGATGTCTTAGTACCATTACATTACATTCTTAGGGAATAAATTGATAACATGTTAGTCAATTTCTATTTCATCTTTTCACTTCCTTTTCCCCATCTCCTGAATTTAAGATGAATATTAATGTTTCCATTGGAGAAAGTGTTCCTTAAAATAGCTAAATTCCACTTCTAACTTCAAATTCACTTTGCATCATTTGTTTTTTCAGTTACCAGAAGTTTTATTGCACTATATACGGGACATTTGAGGCATTTTTTCAGAAGAAAAATGCTCAGTATACATAAGAGGAGTACAGACAGGGCAAAGCAATAGAGTTGTTATTTAGAAGAGAGATGTACAAACAGTGAGCAAGTGACAGTGCTTCTGATTATGAATTATTCTCCTGAACAAGTCTAGTTCTCATAGTCTATTAAAGGCAATATCTACCTTATTTATTTATGATATCAGGAGAATTAAGTGTTGCCTTTCAAAAGTCAGAAAACACTCCACTTTCGGCTCCTCTGTGGTGCACTGAAAGAGTGACATGTATGTGATTGATTATTTTGATTATATAAATACACGCATAAA